CCCCAGGGGAGGAGCAGTCTGTTAGGCCACAGAGGAGGACTTTGCAGCCAGCCCTGAAGATACCTGATAAAACAGGGTCAGATGAAAGGGGAGGAGGTCCTCCCCTATCAGTGGACTTGGAAAGGGGCAGGGAGGAGACCAGGGAGGGAGTGTGGGGTTGGGGAGGGAATGAGGGAGCGGGATACAGCTGGGACACAGAGTTAACAAAATGTAACTAAAAAGAAAAAAATAATAATAAAAAAAAAGAAAAAAGAAGAAAAAAAAAAAAGAAGCCATTGTGGTAACAAGACAGAAGCTAGGTGCTGTAAAATTTGTACCCTAGAGCTCGAAAATTTGTTCTGAGATGCTTGAAAATGGTTCACCATTAGCTGAGACCATTTAGATGAACAGCTTAGCAGATGGAGACCTTTAGGCTTTTTATACTTTTTATACTCTCTTAAGTACTCGAGCCGATACTTGGGGTGAGCAATTGGATAACCACACTCGGAAATAAGGTCTAATCTAAAGGGTAGTTGGGTTTAGGTGTTGGAGCACTTAAAACTGTAGGACAAGACCAGGCAGTGACATTTCTACTGCTATCCTAAATAAACTTGATGTATTTTCTTACTAAAAGATGGCTTGGTGCCACCAATGAAGAGAGCTTTACAATTAGGGCTAATTTTAATGTCAACTTGCCACAAATTAGAATCGCTTGCGTCGGAAGCCTCTCCTGAAAACTGGCCTGATGGCCTTAATTGATCAGGATGATCCACCCTGGTTGTGAGCAGCCCCTTCTGGTAGAAGGGTGTGGTGAAAGACAGATCATTGGCTTTTTTGTTTGCTTGGCCTTCCTAGCTACAGAGTTCATTTACCATGTTGCAGCAGCTGCTGATTCTATTTCTGATGTCAGAACCAGTATTTCCACATTTCCATCATAGACTAAGGACCAGAGGCTCTCTAGGAATCTTCCAGGTTTTCAGTGCCAGATTGTGACTGCTGAGGCACTCAGCCTGTGGGCTGAACCAATACCTGGTTGCTATCCTTTCCAGTGAGGGATAGCTACTGTGGACTGCTCCAAGTCCTGAGGCAGCAGGTTCTTAGCCTGTCAGGTGTGATTCAGCTGTAAGATGACTTAATCAAGTCATATATAGGTACATATATGCATATACATATATACATACACAGACTCTCTCTCTCTCTCACACACACACACATACACATTCCAGTGGTTCTGTTCTTCTAGAGAACCTTGACTAATACAACTACTAGAATTGCCATGCCCAAACAGTTAAGTATTTCCTAGGATCAGGGAATCCACCTTATCATGGGCAACTATGGATGCCCAGTTGGTCTATTCCATGTCAAGGCCAGGAGCAGAAGCCAGCTGTCTACTTGTGGAGATCCTAGATAATTCAAACTTGGAATAGTTTGGGATTAAAAAAAAACTTCATAAATTATCCACAACATCTAAACAAAGATGATATTTTGTTTATATTTCCTTGGGTATGCTCATACAATAGGCATAGGCTTCTTTTTGGAGTAGTCAGGTTTGACAGGACAAGACCTTACCTAGAAAATGAGGAAAGGAAACTGAGATAGAAGGGTACCTTCCTGGTAAACATGTACTGGAT